GTTCAGTAGGGTCAAGTTTCTAAACTTTCTAAATCTCCATTTTCTGGCTAATGAAAAGAAAATAGCATTCCACCAAGTCTCCTATCTACCTACTCCAGGACTTCTGTGAGGAGGAAATGAGATGAAGCATGGGAAAATGCTTCACAAACATTTGGTTAAATTGTAAAATGCTTGCACCTGGCTATAAAGCAAGTCAGGTTCCTGGGCTGAAGAAACTCCAAGGAGGCTAGTCACTAGGGAGAGAAAGCCAGGCGTTGTCATGTGATGTCATTACCCGGCGCCCACAGTCACCGTTTCCAGGCTCGCCTGGGCTGTGGGCTGCATTTTGCATCATGGGGTCTTGGCAGCATTGGCTGCAATTTGGTGTGGTGTCGCTCCGGAGTGGTGGCAGGGCCTGTGTCCCACTTGGGGGAAGCCGAGTGTTGGTTTGTCAGCGAAAGGTCCGTGGTGCCATTTATTTTTAAATGGCCAGTGCATGTCATGGCAGCTCCTGCATTGAGCATCTGTCCCTGGTGGTCAGTGCGCATCATAGCTACCGGTTGGACAGATGGACACTTAGTCTTTTATATATGGAGATAATTAACATATAACACTGTGTGTGTGTATTTAAGGTACACAATGTGATAGTTGATACATATATACAGTAGGTCCTCAGGTTACGTAGGAGATCCATTCCTATGGTGCGACGTAATGCGATTTTCGCCGTAAGTCAGAACCCACCTACATAAGCACCTACATCATTCACATGGAGCACATACACAGCAGTATTGAAGTGAAACAGTAAAATAAACTTAAAAGAGAGATAACAATTCCTGACCTTTACTTGTAATAAACAAATAAAAAAAAACATAAAGCATAAATGTACATATGTCGGAATGACAGAACCTTTTTTTTTTATAAATACTGTAAATGGGAGATGGCGACGTAATCACGAAATGACGTACGTCGAGTCCATCGTAACCCAAGGACTGCCTGTATATGAGAAATGATTACCACAATAAGATTATTTGTTTTTATGTTGAACTTTTTTTTTTATTAGTTAAGGTATTACAAATGTGTCCTCATCCCCCCAATAAGATTATTTTTTACTACAGTAAGATTATTTTTACTACAGTTAACCCCTCTATCACCTCACATAATTACCTATTTTGTAATGAGAACTCATTTTAACCACTTTAATGAAAATCTTTACCTCATGAAACATTTTTTTTCAACTACTTTCATATACACTGTGGCATACCATAGCCACTATATTACTGTAGGTCCCCCTTGCTACACTGTGAGTAAAGTGAGATGAGGCAATACTGCCTCTGCATCCATGCCTTCCAAAACCTGCTACATGCTAAGGACATAATGATAAGAAGGAGATTCACACTCTAGTTGGGCTGTGGGGGACATATATAAACAAGGAATTACACTATGGTGTTATACGGTGGACAGGTAAGAGCTGCGCAGTACTGATGACGGCATACATGAGGACCACCTAATCCAGCCTGGTAGTAGCAGGGATAACTTTCTGGAAGGATGTGCAAGCTGAGACCTGGAGAAAAAGCACAGATCGGCCAGGGTGTAAAGGGGGAAGAGTGCTCCAGGCAGAAATACAGTATTTTAAAGGCTTGGAAGAGAGGGCATGACCTGTTCATGACTGTAAAAGAATTGCAGCATGGCTAGTGTAAAGCACAAAGGTGAGAATGGTAAAAGGTAAGGTGGAGAGATGGGTTTTGTAGGCCATGTTAAGAAGTCCACACTCTATGCTCTTGGTGCAATGGGTAATTTGGACTAGAGATTGGGACAGAGGAGAAGCAGGCTGAGGGTTGGGGGAGAATGACAATGAGTTCATTTTTTTTATCCTCACCTGAGGATATGTCTATTGATTTGAGAGAGAGAGAGAGGAATAAAGAGAGACAGACATTGATCAGACATTGATCGGTATGGGACGCAACCGATCATGCCCTGACCAGGGATCAAATCCACAACCTAGGTATGTGCCCTGACCAGGAATTAAACCTGAAACTTTTTTGGTATATAAATGACATTCCAACCAACTGAGCCACCAGGCCAGGGCATGAGTTCACTTTTGGACAAACTAAGTTGTAAAGTATGTATGAAGCCCTAACCGGTTTGGCTCAGTGGATAAGAGTGTCGGCCTACGGACTCAAGGGTCCCAGGTTCGATTCCGGTCAAGGGCATGTACCTTGGTTGCGGGCACATCCCCAGCAGGGGATGTGCAGGAGGCAGCTGATCAATGTTTCTCTCTCATCAATGTTTCTAACTCTCTATCCCTT